ATGTTTGTGCTATTTTCATGCTGTGTTTGTGCTGTGTTCGTGATATGTTCGCGCGGAATGTTTATACTATGTTTGTGTTTCTTTTTGTGCGGTGTTTGTGCTGTGTTTGTGCTACGCACTATGTTTATGTTATGTTGAGCCCGTTGTAGAACAAGGTAGTTGCCCAGTGAGTGCGGGTGCGTGGGTGGGTAAGTGGGTAGGCGGGTGGCTGGGTGAGTGGGTGGGTGAATTGTGCTATAAAAGTGATCACATTGTTCTGTGCTATGTCAGCACTATGTCTATGTTTGCGCTCTGTTCGAGTGTTGTAGAAGGAAGAAAGAGAGAGGCAGTCCGTGAGGCAATCTTGGACGATCAAGGATCTCTTTGCTCTAGGCCCTAGGACACCCTAAGCTCATCTAAAAACAGTGCTTTAGTAACGTCCTTGAACTTATGCAACTGGCACGTGATGCTCGATTGTGGGGCTGGGGGCCGCCCTTCAAATCGGCAGGTGGTGTGGAAAATGTCAACGGACTGCTAGGCTCTGGGGTTGAGCAAATTGCGGTTATGTTGAAGTGTGGGGGAGGGGGGGCTGTGGCCCCCCTACCCCCGCTGCTCCCCCGTATTGAAGCAGGGGTCGGCAAGGTCAAATGGGTAGATGTAGAGTAAGACGGGACTGAGAGTGTGCCTTGTGACGTTTGGCTATGATAAGCCAGAAGGCATCTGGGAGTTACGGCAGAAGGTAGAACTTAGATCGATGACATAACAGGGGCGCTGACATGGCAGCTCCGGAGTCTGCTTGGAGGCACGCCGATGTAGCAGCTGAAGGGCTGTGCAAGAGGCATGCTTACAAGCTGAGAACTGGGACACCAGCAAGCTTGGGTTTGTACTGGGTCTGGGACTTTTCTTGGTGGAAGTACACCTGGAACATGGTATGGGGCTGCTTCTATAATATGGGTTAGAACCAGAGCCTCTGTCTGCTTGAACACCCGCTGTGACGAACCGATTTCCGCACCGCGCGATTTCCTGCGCGATAGCGATGAGGGGTCCTAAGCTGGGAGGAATGGGCCAATTACGGGAGATCGGGAAAGGAAGGAAATTGCATTGGTGTCCCTGCTTCTTCGTCTTTTTCGTCGTTTCCTTTTTCAATGGTTGGGTTCGGAACTGGGCGTGTCCCGGGACGATCGGTCGATTGGTCGGTTGGATGGCTGGCGCGCTGTCATGCGCGCGATTAATAACTGTTGACGTCGCTTCTTTCGTTTCAATTTTGGAATTTAGGCGCGGACATCGCGCGAGAATTTGCTTCGTTCTTTTTGAATTCTTTTTCGAATCTTGTCGAGCCCCGATGGCTCTCGGAATTTCGGACTTTCTTTTCAGAGTTTGTGCTTTTTGCGTTTTTCGCATTAGATAGGAATTTAGGAATTTTGTAATTAGGAATTTCTTCTGGGCCGCGCGACGCTTTTTGCTTATGCGCTTCTTCGTGTGGCTGCAACGAAACTCTGATTAGTCCGCGCCTTTAATTGTGTGTGTAACTGTAATTTTGGGCGGGGGCCATTGTAACTGTATCTTTCTTCTTGTGTTTCGCCTTTCCCGCCCTTCTTCTCCTTCTTTTCGCTGTGTTTTGGTAGCCGCGGTCTGCATGATCGGATCGATGCGTGGAGAGCGGCTACGTCCCCCACGCCGCGGCCCGGTCATGCAAAACGCAGGCGCTCCCTCTCTAATCTTCTTTCTAAGTCTTTGTAATTCCGTGTTCTTCGCGCATGCATGCACGCTATAAATTCCGGCTGCGCGATTAGTTAGCTCTCTTAACCGGCTAAGTGGAAGCTCGGGGTAGCGCGATCAGGAAGGGTCGGCTCACGAGCGAAGTAAGAGGTGAGTTGAAGTGGGAGTCGAGCGACCCGACGAGCTGGTGCCAAGCGCGCGGGGTTAACGCGAGCCACGACGGACTGTGGGCGCGGGCGAACCTGACGGGTGCGGGAGGACTAAGCGGGGTGACGACTTCGTGGGTTGGTGCGTGACGACGGACTGTCCGCATCGGAGAGAGAGAGAGAGAGGAAGAGGGAGCTGAGGTCGATGGACGCGGATTTGCTGTTTCTTTTGTCTTTTCTCCCTCTCTGCTGGTGTATATAAATTTTGATTTCGGATCAGGGTTCGCCCGTTTTTGTTTTCGGAATCTTGGCTTGGTTTTCTCTCATCCATACTCGTCTTTACGATTTCCATCTCGGATATGGTGTGCGAATGGATGAATGGATGTCGTGTCTGTTTGCTTGTCTTTCTGCCTGATCCTTGCCTTTGCTTACCATCTTGATGCACTTGTGAATACGGTAGGAATTTTGCGTAGTCATCAATGTCGTTTCCATTTTTGCTTATCTTCTGATCGAGCTGTTGTGGTTGTTGCATCTTGCGTACTCGGAAATTACGTAATGATTAGGTGATCGGATAACTGGTTGCCCAGAAAACCAGCGAACGCCGCGCAGGGGCGCACGTAGGTGCGATCTGATCTGCGCACTTACACGAGTCCCCGCCCGTCGATTCACAAACTTAACGATTACGGGGATATTGCCTGATTGGATGTGGCCCTTCCGCGTCAGCAACGAAACAATCATCCCGTGTGAACACGTGTAAGCACGACTCGCGCAGCCTACACGTATTCACAAGCGGTGATCGCAATCGATGAGGACACGTCCTTAGGACTTCTGCGGCTCTACGATGACATAATGACGCGCTCCGGGAGCTCAGATTCGTCGTACGACCTGGAGTACTTCACCCCTTGGATTGAGGAGTGCTTCCGACAGAGGTTCCCCTGCCTAACCGAAAACCGACTGTGTCCTAGGGAGTTCCACTGTGCCACAACCAGCGATCCACGGTGTTCTGATTTCCCCACCACGGACCACACTCACTACTTTATTTCCCCCGGCTTTATCGTTATCTCCACTAACTTCCCTCCCTTCCGTCTTCTTCTCCCGTATCACCAACTCAGGGTCATCCCGTGGAAAGCCATAGCCCCCTACTGGCCCAGCACGCCCTGCGGAAATTGCCGACAACGCGGCAACCAAAGAGCCTCGGGACCGCGAGGGCCCAACCAGAACGTACGACGACCGGCGCCACGTGGCAACAACCGACGACCGGACTCATCGGGATCACACCCATCCCGAAGGAATCTTCCGATGAACCGCCGTCCTCAACACAGATGGATCGCACGACCATAAATGACCCGTGCATGCCATCTGCCTTATGACCAGAAGTGGTCCGCCCTCTCTGCCAAATTGCACCCGTGCCCCCGAACAATTCTGCCACAGGAGATCTCAGTCCTGACCTGGGACTCCACCCCCACTTTCCCAAAAATCCTTGGCACACCCCTTTTCGCACTTCCAGGCCCCCATTCTACTCCGATCAGGAAGTCGCGCTGGGCGTGAGGTTGGGCGTCACACCGCCCTCCG